TGTAGTCAGAGTATGGAATAGTCTTCCTGATAACGTAGTGCAAGCTGAATCCTTGGGTTCCTTTAAATCAGAGCTAGATGAGATTTTAACAACTCTGAGCTATTAGTTAAGTTCTCCTCAAGTGAACTCGATGGGCCGAATGGCCTCCTCACATATGTATTGTTCTTATGCTCTTATCAGTGCCATACCATCCTCAATCGTTGTGGGTTTCTAAAAATTAAGCTTAATGAAATCAGAATATTAAATGAGCAAAGTGATTTTATTTGTTCTTCTATCCCAAGTTGTGGTCTAAAAGCAATGAGGCTACCACCCATTACATCTACTTTAGCAGAAATACACTTCTCCCACCATTAAAATAGCTCTCACCTTTTTTCAGCCCTGCTAAATATTTATGCAGTCTAACACTATCCAGTTTCATTATCTGTGTTTGGTGACTGGTGCTATACACTTTTATACCACAGGCAGTTTTCAGAACAGTTCCGTTATTAACAGCTGATTTGAAACAAAGCTTACAAGAGGGAAGAAAAGGTCTGAGTCTTTCTTATTATGGTGGGTTAGTAAAACACAGCAGCAGGATGCCCAAATGATTTCAAATGAGAGTACATTAAAATAGGGCAGATATGGGCCACCCATTTTTATGCTTGTGTGCCACCCATATGGGCCTGCAATTTGGGAAGAGGTGGAGACACATTGTCCTAACACTCTAGGTTGTAAATTGAACACTATAAGAGTTAATAAATATTTACATTGTAAAAACAACACAGACTGCACACTGTAAAGTGTTAAAGGTAACACTGAATGGTGTGGACACATATAGACTCCATGCAGTGTTAATTTAACACTGGCACATTTGCTGTGTACCAACTAGGGCTGGGCGATATCATACCGGTATTATATCACGCATGCGCAGTAATCACTAGGGCTTCAGATGACAGGCGCAACATTTGGCCGTGTGCCAGCTTTTCTGTGCTATCCGCCCGCTTCTCCGCTCTAATTCGCACTAAGCCGCTCCGCTCAACACCGCTCCTCAATCCACTAAAATTTCCTCCCGCTCCAGTCAAATCGCTCCACGCTCGCTCCAATTTAAAAGAGGGACAAATAATCTGCATGTCTAACAAATGTCACCTTAAACCGAAGCCTTATGTCATAAAGAAATATGAGCAACGGCAACATTGCCAGTCAGAACAGAAAATATTTATAAAATATAATTTTAAAGCAACTTATACGCAACAACGGACAGGTTTGGCAATGGCATTCCATACAAAAATAGGCTTAAAAATAAAGTCTGCTGATTTCACACCCAAAAACGGAGTAGGTTTACTCCTGGCATGCACCGGCAATATAGTCAGGTTACTAATAGGGATTCACGCTCCAGGCTACGTATCTAATAGTAGACGAAAAAGACAAATATCTGCAATATAATATCTTCAGTTGCAGTTAGTTTCTAAACATAGGTTTCCAAAATTCAAACCTAAGGAACTTTTTAAGTTAAATCTAGTTTTATAACTAGACATAACTACATGAGAATCCACTTCTGCAACAGCAGACATTAGGGAACGTGGCTGGGGAATTTATACTGTTGCCCTATTCATCACCATCATGGCTAAAAGTTTAAACGAAGGCTGTCCCTGTCATGCTATGCAAATATACATCAGCACTATTGGTCTTCAGGACCTGGCAGACTTTTGACTGTTAT